TGGTACACATGTGTACCACCAGTAGTCAAAGATTAACTTACGCAGGATGACTCGCTTTAGCTTCTGACGATTAATTGTCATAGTAAGAATTAGAAAGCTTCTATATGTGCACAATTCAGCCATCAAATGAGCGCTCCTGCCTCAATATTCCCTGGAAACTGTGGTAGTGTCTTTGACTACGGAAGTGGGACACATGTGTCCCACCAGTAGTCAAAGGGTTCAGTGCGACTAAGTGATGACAAAGTGGTAACGGTCGTTAATTCAGCCCCGTCAAACCTCCAATTTCGCGAGTGGCTTCTTCCTTGGCGACATAATGGACTGTCAATAATATGAGCACCTCACGACCAGGCTGGTGTCAGAGTCCGCGATCCGTCGCAGGTTTCGCTGATTTTCGCGATTTGCGCGATTCACGCGACGGGTCACGGAAATCACAAGTGCCCGATCAATACTGCAAGGTGTTCTCCAATCCCGCCGCCACTTCTGCTTGATAGTGATGGCTGAATGACGACTGCTCATGATTCCACTTGTTTCATATTCAGTGTTTCAAATGTTCAAATGGGGCACTTGCAATTTTTGCGATCCGCGCGAAGCCTGCGACGGATCACAGGAATTGAAAGTGCCCCGATCACCCCCACCCCCACTTTTTCACGTTATAGGGCAGAATCACGAACAGTCGTCTTTCAATCTTCACTGTCAAGCAGAATTCGCAGCAGGATTAAACGGCACCTCGCAGTATTCATCGGGCACTTCCAACTCCTGTGATCCATCGCAGGTTTCGCGCAAATCGCGAAAATCGCAAATCGCGAAAATCAGCGAAGCTGCGACGGATCGCGGACTCTGACACCAGCCTTACAAATTTTGTGCAAGGCAAGACGTGGGTTTATAAAAGGCGATTGTAACCCGGCCATTGGGGGCGGGGGGTGAGAGTGTTTGATGGGTTCTTTGATTGTTGTTCTTCCGTTTATCTTGTCCGTTAAAGCCAGGGATAAATTTTAAGAAAGATGTAGGTCTTGTAAATAGATACTAGAATGTATGCGGAGCAGTGATCATCTTACGATCAGTTCTTCAGCTGTTACCCCTTTGTACGCGATTTAGTCTATGATACTTGCAATTAGTGCAGGTGTCACCTTCAACCCACGTTTTTGATCGCACCCATTAATCTTCAGTGGAACACCTGTTCTCACATGGAGAGTAAGGATGACTAAATTTCATCTCTGCATTTCCAGGCAAACGGTGATTTGCTGAATATGGTTTCCTTGGAAAAGGGATGTTATATAGGGCAAGAGTTGACAGCTCGAACTGCACATACTGGTAAGATGTTTCTCGCGCCATTGTACTGTAATTTCTTCTGTAGTGAGATTGACCTTTAGGAGTGATTCGACGACGGATACTTCCGTTTAAGTGCGAAAAAGCTGTAAAAGGGAACGGTGATGCTGGAGGATAAAAAAGTCGGCGAGGTATTTTCATCTTCGTTTGTGCACTCAGTTATTGTGCGCAGTGCATATATGATTGTTGAGGTTATCTCCTGTGGAAACAGACACGGTTTGGCTCTGATGGTGTTAAGCGCTTTTGGACAACCACTGAAAGTGGACGGTTCTCCGATTGTTGTTTATAAACCATCGTGGATGCCAGACTCGGCACTCATACCTAAAGAAAGGTGATAGAATGCGATAGATATCGTCTTATTCCTTGCTCATCCTAGTCGTTGTTATATGTGCGTGCTATATTGAATCTCTCTATATGTTACATTATTCAGACCTAGTTATACCATTGTTCAGTATGAAATTTACTGTTAAGATTTGAAAAGAGATTAAATCGAAGTGTTTCATAAAAGTACTGGTATTTGTGTTTTGCGTTCGTGGAGATACCACTTAGAGCCATACTTTGCAGTAAATGAAGTCTCCTGAAAAAAACTGTTTGTACTAATCGATAGGTTTATTCCTATGAAACTACTAAGTCTGTTAGGTTCATTTATTGATATGCGGTCCTTTGATTGAGCCTTAATGATACAATTTTAACTCAGTTTTTTTTTCACCGTGTTACATAGCGTACGTGCGGTCCTGATCTTATTTTGCATTAAGTACGAGGTCCTTATCTCAGCAAATGTTCTCCTTCGGTTCAACGCCATATTTTACAAAGTCTGCCTCTAAAGTTCCTTGGTTTTGGCTTTGACATAAAAATGGAGACATCATTCCTCTTGCGCTTGGCTACTTTCAAGGCCTATATCCAAGTAGTTCCGTGCCACGATGTGCCGTAGAACTCGAAAAGGAACAGTTCGAAGTCCGGATAATCTGCATTGAGTACAAATTTCGGTCGTTAGCCAGGAAGCGACATTTACAGCTAGTAAGGACCCACATTCGATTATCCAATTTGCGCTATGCACACGCCACTGGAGATCGGCTATGTAGGGTTCGATTCGATGAAGTTAAGGAAGAGAGATTTAGTCAAGCTGGTGCAGATAAATTAGTGGTTTAAGGGATAAAAACTGTGGATAAAAAACAAGAGCTTCAAAGTGGTTTATCAGTGCTGTTCTTATTAAACTAGTCTTGGTTTCTGAGAGGAGAAAGTCGTGGGAGCAGAAGGGGTGCGTCAAACATAGCTTTTGTAGCACTTTCTACCTACCACGTCCCCGTGGTGGGTCGGTTCCATTTGTGCTCTACTGCTCTGCTTTACTCCTTCACTGCTGTACATTCTGGAGCATGTGGCACTGGGGAGTGAACTCACCAACCGTATTGATAGTCTGATGTAGAATGGAACTCATTCTGTTGTGACCTTTTAAGGACCTATGGTAGTCAAAAGGACCGTTTTATTTTTCAGCTCGACCTTTTACGAGTTAAGCAGGATTCTGTATTTGTTGCTGATGGTGCTGGTTGTTTAGATTGCTCAAAAATGTCAACAAAGCATTTGCGACGGTTGATTGAGGAGAAAGAGCAAGAGCAGGCAAAGGATCTTTCAGAGGAAGTTGAGGATGCAGTGCAACAGCGAACTGGGCCTGTAAACCGCTTCGCTGCTTTTGTTGGTAAGTCATACATCGCAGAGCCATAGCAAAGTTGCGGCGGCCTAACAATGAAGACTTGTCCGTACCAGAATGCGGATCAAATCGCTTAATAGAGTTATCATTAATGGGTCTCCAGTTCGGGTTTGTTCGGTATATGCTTCCATCAGTACTAGTGTAAATTAAACCCGTTTTTAGAGCATCTTTTGGTGTGTTTTTTCTCAAATAGATAACGGTCGTAGCATTGCGATCTAGCGCTGCCAGTTTCTAGGATCAAGGATAAGCACATAAAAGGAGTATAGTAGAAAGTCTGACAGCACTTGGCCATCACTTCGGTTCTTTTTCGTTCAAAAAGAACCTGCTATTCAAAGAACAGATTTTACTCATTTATTTTATTGTTGTTCCCCTAGGTTCAGCAATCAAATTTCTGTCAAAGACCAGTGAATTCGAATAATTTTTTCTGGGGACACCTGGCAGTGTTCTGTGGGATCCATGAATAATGGCTGATTTTTACTAGTTAGCTGCAAGTTTTCCGTCTCGTCTTTTCATTACAGTGGTGGTCACTGGTCGATGTTCAACCCGATGCTCAACTGAATGCGATTTGGATAAAACTAGCGGGAAAATATTGGGTTTCCCCCTTTTTAGTAATTACTTTTAAACGCCTGATTTCTTAATCACATTCAAAAAACTGCTACCAATTTATATATATTAGAAAGTGCGCTTCTCGCACTGTCGAAATCTACCGCTATTTTAATCCTGAAACACTTTTTTCCTCTTAAGTCTTGAATACAACACACTCAACAGTTGTTTTGCACGAGTTCCTTCACTCCCCTCGAATTTTGTCGGAAATATGCGGAATCAAGTCGCCATATCAATGACGTTTGTCTACAATCATAAAAAATAATATATTCGCCAGATCAATGTCTTTCTCGCGATTATAAAAGCTTCGAAGAAGATTAGGTAAAGTGGGAAAGTTAGGAACTGTACAAAATATTCTGGGATTTTTGATCAAACCAGTGCATTAGGAACGTTGAGTAGGCCGTTCCAATGGAGTAAGTGGTGGAGTCCATAAATAGACAGTTCGAGACCCTAAAAGAATCGACAGTATAGGTGCGCTGCATTGTTTTCCCCTATTTGCGCAGCCCCATCTCGCACTTCATATCACAAGCCACCAGCGAGCTATCACAACTGTTGCGCAATATTTTGCTGCGTGACTGTGCCTACCAACTGTCGTTTTTTGAGTTTTTTCAAAGAGATTCAACGCTAAAACCCAATGGGGAAACGACCTTCGCCAAGTTCCTCGCCTACAGAACTCCAGTACTTTCCACATCCGGAACTATTAAGCCCTCCTCTTTTGGGCAAGGCTACAGACAGTGTAATAGTTTTTATTTCTATCGCAGAGGTTTTGTTTGACACGAGATGTGTGCTTTTGAATATGGGGGTCAAAATTGGCGGAATCTCTCCGAACAAGCCAATAATTCCTGTTTGAAGGGTCTCTTACCACATCTTTCATAGCTGGATCTCTGTCGCAGTAATGGGCGTGAATATGAATTGATGGATGATTCCACTTTCAGATGACGAAGGAACTGCTGATAGATCTGAAGGAAGTGACATAGAGGAGCCTCAGTCATCAGCAGATCAGACTGACGCTACTCATCATCAAAATAAAGCGGAAGAACGAAAATCGAACAAAAAGAAAAGGAAAAAACAGAAGAAAAAACAAGTAGACGAAGTTGATGAGGAACAGCTATTGGAGCAGCTCATGTTAGAGGTTTGTTCATAGGAACTGCGTCAAGAAGTGAGAGACGTGATGAACATAAACATTTTATAAGGGATTGATTGCCTGGATGAATGTACTAGACTTTTCTAATATAGTTGGACCGTATGAAATGACAGACCAGTCCGATGTTTTATACGTTCCAGCTACATGAGAAATTTGCATTCTTAGCGTTGAAAATGGCCAACATTGTTCACTTATAGAACCGCTCGTTAACATCGGCTGCTGAGGACCAGGAACCATTGGGAGTTGATCAACTCATCAAGCCTGATCCTAGACTCTTTGACGCAGCTGCAGAGCTCAAAAGAGCGCTCGGGAAGAGTTTCAAGGTAAGTGATTTCACTTTTCTTCAGATTTTCGAGAATTGCAGACTATGGTAATTCGCTGCTTTGAATTTGGAACTCATTCGCTGGCCTGGTATTTTTGTATTTTGGACTTCTTTGCAACACTTCTGTTCAGTGCATTCAGACATTAATAAGCATAATTTAATTTACTCTATCTAATGAACAGTAACTAGATGGAGGCATCAGCATCGAGTTCAAATCGTTCTCATCGCAAAGCTGGTGGCGGTGGGAAACTTGTCAAGCAAAAGAACACATGGCCACCGATCAGAAGCATAGGTGAGGTCGTCTCCGAATCTGCCTTTCACTTCAAACAGCAGCCTCATTTTTTGAAATGTCGACCTGCTGTTCTAGGTTTGTCCATGGAAGTTGATCGAGAGGAAGGTCAAGAAAAGTGGTTCAAGTTCGTGCATAATGCACATTACGAGCAGCTTGAGAGGTCTGATTATTTCACAATTATTCGACTTTCCGAGTTTCCAATGATTCACAATCTTAATCAGTTTTGGCTACGTCCTCAGTAGAGGTGATAGAGGTTGCACTGTCGATAGAAAACGACTTACCCGAAAGGCCCCTTTTCCCGTTGATTCCTGCTGTAGACGAGCCAGCGAGCGAGACGAGCTCATGGTATCGGTTATCCTGTTAAACCCGATACCATGCCATCACACATTTTTTCATTGATAACGCATAATCTAGAAAAAAAAAGTAAAAATTTCCTAACCACGGAATGCCATTTCGAATGAAGAGCAAATTTTAGCAGAGGAGGCTGTAGACAAGAATTGATGAGAGAGTGAGTGGGGAATCTTTATCACAAACGTTCACGTTAAAAGTAAAATACAAAAGACTCGATCCCACGACCACTTCCTCGAGAGCCCGGATCTTAATCACTACGCGAAGGCGCTCGGTGAGTACGGGATAAGATGGATCACACGATTCCTCAACAACGTAACTGCGGAAGGAAGGATGCCTGGAGAACAAGCACTATCGTCCCCATCTTCAAGCAGAAGGGTGACGCGATGGACTGCTCCAACTACCGCGGTATCAAGCTGACAGCGCATACCATGAAGCTGTACGAGCGCTTGGTCAACTCGAAATTGCGGGAGTTGGTCCCGATCTCCCAGGAACAGTCCGGGTTCATGCCCGAAAGGTCTACAACGGATGCCATCTTCATCGCGAGGCAAGTAATGGAGAAGTATCGAGAAAAGCGACCACCATGCTACCTAACCTCGTTTTTTTTTTTTGTTTTAAATCGAACAGGCCTTTTCCTTGACCTGGAGAAGGCGTTCGACCGACTACCTCGAGCAGTACTATGGAGAGCGCTCAGGGAACGGAACGTGCCAGAACACCTGGTCTCGCTGGTGAAGGACATGTACGATGGGGCGAAGGCAGCTATACGCACCCCACACGGCCTAACGAAGGAAGTGGACATCACGGTTGGGTGGACCAAGGATCTGCTCCTGACATTAGATGTCCTGGTGTAGGAGCTCATGGAAGGACCACTAAAGACCATCCTCTACGCTGACGACATCGCCCTGATAGCGGATAGTAGAGAGGAACTACAGGCCAAGGTGCAGCAATGGCAGAAGGTCCTGGCAGAAGGCGGACTACGGCTGAATGTCAAGAAGACCAAGTTCCTGAGTTCTGAAGAGGGTGCAGAGCCGATCATGGACGGGCATGGTGAAAGCATCGAAAGAGTAGAGGACTTCCGATACCTTGGAAGTGATCTGGCGGCCGACGGCAGTGTGGACCAGGCAGTAATGGTATATGAGTCTGGCATGAGGATTCCACGAACTCCCCTGCGATCGACGCTCGTGCTCTAGAGGTCAAAGGAAATGTGCGTACAGTGTGAGCTGCGATGGTATACGGCAGCGAGTGCTGGCCCCTGAACAAGAATCGAAAGACAGCTTTACTCGGCCGAAATGAGGATGATGAGATGGGCCTGCGGCTGGACGCGACTGGACAGGGTCAGGAACGAGGATCTCAGAGCGGTAATCGACTGTTTCTCTGTCCATGCTGAGTAAGGAGAAACGAATGCGGTATCTGATTGCTGATAAAACCACCAGGATATAAATTGCGAATGATCTTCGAAGTGCAAGGCATGTCGACCGCGAGCCGCTTCCAAGAAGAGTGGAAGTTGATAGGAAGGACTATAAATCACGGCATGCAAAGAGTATGCACGCGCCGATAGGCAAAATTGGCGACGACTGACAAAAACAGCGGACCCTGCAACTGCGCGGGACTAACGCTAAGGAGAAGAAGAAGAAGAACGTTCGTAAGTATGAAAGTAACTTGCTGTTGCTTAAATGGCAAGAGATTGTTTGTAATTCATACGCTTCGACGCTCTACGACTATAATACAAGCGCAAAATGTGGGGTTTACAAAGACACGTCTTGCAGTTCGAGGCAAAATTAAATAACCGTAATACAAGCTTTGTAACTCTAATTTTTAATGGCCAAATGGCCAAGGCGACCTGAGGGCCTTTTCTTGTGGAAGCCTAATTCGCAGCAAAAACATCGACACATGCTTTTCTACTGGTCCACCACTATTCCCCTGCTTTACTTCTAGTTACAAGCACAAATGTACGGTAGCAGCGTTATTCTTCATTCATAAATATGCAGTTGTAGCCTGCCAAGCAGTATTTTTTCAGACTTTGCTGGGTAGCTGACTAGATTCGCTCTAAGATGGTTGATCAGGATAATTGAAGAAATACTCACTCACAATCCATTTCACTTGAATTCACTACTTCTGCTAGCAAACATTTTTCGCATGCAGGAAGACATCACTCAATCGTGTGATTTAATAGGTTTGGCCTTTTCTCTGGGTTTGGCTAGACTCGAGTTACCGTAATAGACTCGGAAGTCACGAAAATTGCATTGAAGAATATTTGTCAAGATTTCAGAGCGGGGTATTTTTTATTGCGAACAAGCAATGGCAAGCACGTTCCATCCGAGTTCATTTTATCACCGTATAGACTACTTGGACTACGAGAACCGAGCATTTTATCTGTTGTTACATCGACATATGATGAATTGCATTCATAAACGGTTAGTTACTAGAGTTCAGTTTTTTAAGAAGTGAGAATTGATCAGACCAGAGTACCTTTGTTGCGGAAACAGAAGGCGGTTAGCCTGTGCATGAGTAACAGCTCCTCAGTTAACCTTTTGAAAGCCACAATTCCTCGCTGTTCTGCTAAAATGGGTTAACTCATCGTTGAATGTCAAGCGGTAGCTCTGATCGAGGTCGTGTTCTCTATAATTTCGTTATTTTTTAGATGCTTTGAAACGGCACTCAACTATGCGAAACTGATATTGACCATGGATCCCCAAAGTGAGTAGTGTTATAAACTTCACTGCTCTGTAGTATTTGAAGATAAAAGCTCTTTTTTCACGTTCAGTAATGGTTTTCTTTTGTAATATTTTGACATTTTTCAATCTTAGTTTTTATGTAAAGAATTCTTACCAAAGGTTGGTGAGATCTTTGCATCCGAGTTGTATTTCCTCTCGTTGTAATGCATCCTGAAAAACACCTGATCTTTTGGTTAAGGTTCTGTACGATGGGGTAAAGGCAGCAATGCGCATTCCGCACGACCTGACGACTGACAAAGGAGGTAGACATCACGGTTGGGGTGCATCAAGGGTCAGCTCTGAGCCGTTCCTCTTCCTCCTAACACTAGATGTCATGGTGAAGGGGCTCATTTAGGGACCACTGACGACACTTCCTGATAGCGGATAGCAGAACTAAAGGTTAACTTGCAAAAGTGGCAGGAGGGAGGGTTCCGGCTAAATGTCAAGAAGACCAATGTTGCTGAGCTCAGAGGATGCAGAGCCGATCGTGGACGGACCATGGGAGAAGCATCGACGAAGTGGAGGACTTCTGTAAAAGCGATCTGGCTGCTGACGGTAGTGTGGATCAGGCAGTAAGGTCACGGATTCAGCTCCACTCTGCCGAAATGAGGATGCTGAGATGGGCCTGCGGCTGGACGCGGACTGGACAGGGTCAGAAACGAGGATGTCAGAGCGGTCATGCAGACTGCCCCTGTCCAGCTGAAGGTACGGGAACAGCGTCTGCGATGGTATGGGCATGTGCTAAGGAGGCCACAGGATCATCCGATAAAAAAAAGGAACGACTTCGTACAAGCGCAAGCAAAGGGCGTGAAACATTTATGAAGGACCCTCTCCAAAGAAGAGGCTGCGGCAGAAGATGATCAGGAGAGAACATGGTGACGGCTGACAAAGGCGGTGGACCCGGCGGCTACAGCGGGAGTAGCGCTGGAGAAGAAGAAGTGCGTGCTGAAATGTCTGATTTTTTTTTTCGGAAAATGGGATGACGCTGCAACAGATTTTATGCGATTATTCTGAAAAATTTAGTTGAGAAGGCTTGCCAGCTGAAAATTGCTAATTGTTAGAAACAAACCCACCTTTTGCTGTGAGGTAGCCAAAATTGACGAAGAAGATTTTTGTTAGGTACCTATTGACATATTTACGGTCGCACTAATGATAGACACCTGACAGAGTTGTAACTTGTTATCGTTAGTTTTTTAGTTTCGTGCATATTGCTTTCTGAAGAAAAGCCTGTAGATTTTATGCCATTTTTGATAAGGAGAATGCTTCCTCCTGGACGTTCTCAGGCCAAATAAAGCAGGTTTATTTGAAAAGTACTGTTCAAAAGACCTTTTTGGCGAAAATTCGTGCGTCATCTTCCCTTTTGAATTGTTATTTCTGCAGGATGGGCAGAAATTACGGTAACAAGAGCACAGTCAAGACATCTCGAAGTTCTTCTAGCCTAATAAATGCACCTGGCCCAAGAGACTACTGAGAAAAACACTGGACACACTAGCAAGGTGGACTGCTTGCCCACAAGTATTTTGCAGCATTTATGTAGCAAAACTTTCCAAATAGCTACCTTAACCCTTTGACGACAATGCGGATTTGCACGTAGCGTGCTCGTGGGACCACGCCTCTTTTTGGCGCGCCCAACTCGCACAAAATGGGGCAAAATTGTCCCTAAAAGCAGTTTTTCTATCAAAATTTTGACTATGACAATAAACAAAATATGACTGCAGTCTTAAGCTTTATGATCATGTATTGTTGGAATTAGAAGTGGAAGTTTGGAAAGAAATCTCGGATTTCAAAGGGATGGTGTTTGAAAACTTAGAAATTCAAATGTACAGTAGAATTTTTGATATAGTTCAAACTCCTCCTTGTGTCTTAAGACTGTGAAAAGACGTAGAGGTCCTGATCTGTAATTCACCTTAAGCTTAATAATGTAAAACACTAGTTAATACATCGCCGAGCGAAGTGCCATATCCTAAAATTTCATATAAATTAGCTAGTAACAAACATTTCTGCAAAATATGCTAAACATAGGCGTAACGGAGCTTGCTTATAATTACTGATATGTTGAAAATGTTTTAAATGGGTAAAGAAGAAAATTTTAGGGTGGCACCCACCATTGGGTGCCATTGTCCCACGCGACGGTCATAGTGGCACCCACCGGTGGGTGCCATTGTCGTCAAAGGGTTAACTAATGAAATGGAGGAGATTTTACGATTAGAAGGAAAGTCGATGGAAGAAGTAAATTCACCTAGTTGAGTAACCCACGGACCTCCTGAGGGTGCGAACTGATGCGCAATTCGCATCGAAAAATTTGACCTCGGCGACCTATTATGCCTCAAAGTTGGCGGGTCTGGCGATCTCCGCCCACCGACCAGCTGATCACTCGCCGCAGATCTATACGTGGGATTGATTAGATAGCAGAGAGAGCGTGATGTTGAGGAGGGCACAGCGATAAGAGTCGCATCAATGCGCAAATCACGGGGAAGGAAGGGGTCCCATTTCTCGGGTTCTGGGCCGTTTCTCATGGTTCTTCCTTCTTTCGTGTACCACTCACCATCCCTAGGTTAATTTGAAATGGGTTGCTTTTTCATCGTGAATTCGTCCTTTAAAGTTGAATGCTGACTTTTTGCCGTAGTAGAGTTGCTTTGAACAGAGCTGGCCTGCTGCTAGATGTCATTGAAAGATTAATGAAATGAAAGCTGGGACACGCTCAGAGACCACCTCTTCAAAGAATTGCGCACGATGGCGCTCGTGAGATGCCACTCACTCAGTGCACCAATACAGCAGCTGCAGTCGTTAAAGTGGAGTGTTATAGTTGAGTCCGTATTGGGTCTATCATTCTAAAGCCTCTGTCATAATCCCTATTTTTAGCCGTTGAATTTTTTGGCGCCTACCTGTGCAATTAAAAAAAATATCATTCAGCTGCTCCTTATTTAAAGACTTTGATCGGCAGATCCAGTTGAGGAATGGCACTGAAAGCTGTTATTTTCTCGATGAAGTAGTGCTTTCATTTAGGGAGATCCGCTCGCTATTCTGCTTGTTGTTGATTCAATTGCCATCAAAGCGAAGCAGTACAAGTGGTTGAAGGATTTGTATCGATGCTGCAAGGTATACATATTAATGATGACTTCATACAAATCAGTATTTGAAATGTAACCGAAGTTGCACATTTTCAATTCAAACTTCTGTACCCAAATACTATCAACATTCTTTTGATGACTCGAGTGTTTTTAGTCTTTAGCCTTTCCTTTTCCCTTTCACAACATTTTGAAAACGATTGAGTACCCTCGTTTTTCTGGTCCCAAGTGGATAGAGAAATCAGAAAATTGGCCAGTGTGAGGTTGCTTCGACATGGGAGAGTTCATCAGAAAGCGTTATTTTGAAGGTTTTTTACTGGAATACATCGAAGGATTATCCCAGGACAACGAAGGGTCTATCATTTATCAAGGCCTTTACTATCTTATTTTGGATTAGATCCTTTAACCCTTTCCGGACCGCCTGACACCCATGGGGTGTCAGGAACTTCAAGAGCTGATTTTTCCAAGGTTTGGTTTTTCGATAAAATGTTTTATGTTGTTACATATCTATGTAACAGACTCATGCCATATGTATGAAAAAACCTAGACTTAGGTCTTAATCTAGTTCCTAAAATAACCAAAAGTAAATGGACTTCCACTTTGGAGCTCAAAGAAAACAGTTGTAATTCGCTTGAAAACACTTAAATACCGAAGAATTTGTGAAATATCCGTGCTCGTCGTATCTGATTCTTATGGATCCAAGCACGTTCTACTCCCTTTTTCTCCATACCAACTTATTTTGAACAATTTTCGTCCCTTCCTCCCTTTTTATGGCCCTTTCCCTTTTTTTGCAAAACAGTTTTCTGTCAAATTAATCTTATATATTCTTCGAGACATGACAAAGACATAAACGAGACAAAATAATGGCTTTAGTGGGAATACAGATTAAATATATGATATTTATGCTTGCCGCGCAGCATGCGGCCGTGAGCGCAAAAAGTGCGCGGTCCGGAAAGGGTTAACACAATGTGAGGACATAGGCCATCATGCGAATTACAAGTGTTTTAAAGATGTTCCACATCAGTTGCTTGTATCAACGTTAGAGGTTAGATCCACACGTCTGAGCGCCAGGGTCATCCGATCGTCCGGCCGACTCAGGTGGTGGTCGTGTTTTCGGTATCTGCGAGGGAAGGTTCGTCATCTCCTCCCCTCCCTCCTACCCCTCCGACGGTCATTTTGGCGGGAAGAAATAGTGGGCGGAGTTGGACGGTGTCAACTGGTGTC